GCATCAAGCCATTAAAAGCAGAGAAGGGAGGGGCAGGGTCCCGCGGTCCTCCCTTCGTACGTCTGGAGGTGACCTTATGCCTACAGGCAAGTTTCCCCCTCCCCTTTCCAGAACACTGTGGTTGCTAAATCTGTTCAATGAAGAACACAGAAGCCTCCCGCTCAGATGTCGGGAAGAACGCCTCTTTTGAAGAGCGTCGCGGCTCAAAAATGGCTGGGCTGTAAGCTGGTAATCAGTTAGCTGCGGTCAGACACCCACTCAAGAACCTCGATACTCAGGGACCATGTTATCACACACGATGTCCATTAGGCCCCAGTAATCTGCTAGCAACGCATTTTAAAGCTATTTGAATGTTAAGGAGATTTTTGTTAATGGCCCATGAGCCTAAAATGTGACTATTGGTTCTCGGAACAGATTTTAACAACTGGAGGCAGGGATGAGTGATTTTCAGGTTTCAGGGTGTCCTCGGGCCTCTGGAGATCCCAGTTGGTAGATTAGGGGCAGGCCTAAGGGAAAACCTTCACTCTACCCAAAAACTGTCTCTGAGGGGCCCTTTCCGGCCTATACCTTGGGAACCTGGGATGGAGGGAGGGTGAGCAGGATGCACTAGCTGCTGTTCCTTTGGGCTCCCAAAGGCAGCATTTGCTGGTCATATCATGGGCAGTTCAAGGGGGGAAATCAGCAATAGCTGCTAGAAACTGGCATCTTATTTTTAAAGAAGCCCTTGGCTGGAAATGGCTCCTAATGATGTCAAGTAGATTAAGAAACCCTTAATCCAAAAGGCCCCTTTACCCCTCCAAAATAGGCAAATTAAAGCAGACACTGGAGAGGAAGGCAGAAGAGCCCATCTGATTCTCAGACAATTTTTTTTCCCTTGTTGGTGCTCAACAGAAGTCAATTCACACTTTGGCCACTTACAATTATATTTGTTGTGGGATTCTTTCTTGTTTTCTCTGTCCTCCCCCCCCCCCAAATACCATGTTTCCTTACTCTAAGAATTGAACTAAAAGTTGGGGTAGATTAAGGAATAAAAGTGAGTCACAGACTTCACACTGTTCGACTTTTCCTCTAGGAGAAAAACAAAATTCGAAGCAGACCCTCCCCCTAGTGATAGCCTGAACTTTCTGGCACCTGCAGTTATGTTTGACCAAATGAATTGGACTGGTAGGACTCATTTATTTGAATTTGCTTATTGTTTGCAGTCAAGAGCAGGTTGGTCTTTAAATATAAAACACAAGGCTTGCAAGGGGGGAAGTCTGGCTGATTCTCTTCAGAACTGGGGGTGCTCCCTTTCTTGTAGGGACTGCTGTGCAGTAGAGGCCTTTCAAAGACATGCCAGCCACTTTTGCATTCCAGTTCCTGCACTGGGTTCCATTTCCTTCTAACTGCTTCTACCACAAAACTGCCCTTTCCAAATAGTGCCTAAATTTTGTTTTAATCAGGTTAAAAACAAAAATCTGCATATTATTTTAAGGTTTCATGTTGCTATTAACAGGCATTTAGAAAGAGATGCTCCAAGCAATCCTATACAATGTGTCTCAATACACCAGAGCACTATGGTCTCACATGTAATGTTAATTCTGTCCGAGACAAATCCCATAATCTGTGCAGTTTCAGAGCCTAATACTGAAAAACTCAGTTTGGGGGGGGGGGGCTTGCTCTCTCCATCCCAGGGGAACCTCCCAAGGGCTCCCCATCTTTCATAACATGCTGACCCAAGGATGAAAATAGGACGACTAAGGGGTCAGGTTTCATCAGGACATGCTTCCTTTAGAGGGCACTGGCCACTGAAGAGAAAAAATGTTCAAGGCACTGGTCACAGATCTGGGCATGCAAATGCATGATTGGGGATGACTGGGGCTTGGTTCGTTTTGTGAAGAGAGAGCGAGAGCTGTAGAACTATCCTTCTTAAAGGTCTCGAAGGCAAGAAGCAGTCTGGGTTGGACGTTGCATCTTCCCATTTTGGTTGTTTTCTACAACTTCAGCTTCCATTTGTGTGGGATGCTGGGATGCGTCTGTCTCTTGCCTGGAATCTTTGTATTTTTTTTGCAACGATTAAAACACGTCTTTGAATGCAATAAACCACCACTGAACACTGGCACGCCTGGTTTTGGGTTACAGCTTTGTCTGGGTAACACTGCAAGGTTGTCACTGGGAGTTAGATGCCGGTTCAAGCACGTGGTGTGCACAGGGGGAAGGGCTGGCCCTGGGAGCGCCCGCTTCTGGTTAAGTGGGGGTGGGCACGCGGCTTCGGTGGGTGCCCTGCAGGTAACCGGAATGGGCTGCCCTACATTGTCAGGGGCTGCAAAGGCATCGCTTCCCCGTTCCAGAACCAACATCCAGCCTTCGGGCCCATTCAGTGCTACGCCGGGTCCAGAAGAAAAAGGGAACTCAGGTTAAACTAAGAAATACAGAGAGGCAGGAGAAAAGGGATGAGTGAGGGTTACAGATTCCCCCGGGCTTCCCCTGAAAGCCCTACCTCGGAACCCAAGACCCCAAGGGAAGGTGGAACTCCCGAGCATCACACCCCAGACCCACTAGCCGAAGCACCTGGCTTTCCTGCGGGGGCGGGGCACCCCGGGTGGGGGGGCTGGCGGGCCCAGCTGGACTCCGTGTAGGCGCCAAGTCCGCCCTGGACATCAGGGGCGACAAACGCGGCCGGGAGTCCCTGCTGTGGCAGCGGCGGCGGTCTCGCCCTTCTCCGCGGGTAGGAGAACCAGCCGTCTGCGGCGCTTCCTCCCGGGAGATGAGGGAAGCGAGAGGCCGCGGGCCCCGCCGCTCGCCTTCGCCCCCGGGGCCTCCTCTCCTTGGGTCTCGCCTACCGCGCCCTCGCGCGCAGGGCGCGGGCCTCCGGGCCGGACCATGCCCACGCCCACGCCGAGGCCCGTGGGGCCGCGAAGCCACGGGTGCCAGGCCCGCGCCTGCCCCGGAGCCTGCCTGTTGGGCCGAGGCGCTCAGACCTTCGCGCGGCCGGAGCGCGGGAGGCCTCGGGACAAGGCCGTGAGGCGCGCTGGGCTCGGCAGAGGTTCCGGGCTCCGAGCAGAGCCGGCGCCGGACCAGAGGGAGGGGAGCCCGGCGGGCGAGGGCCCCAACGGCGCCCCTGCCCGGCCCGCGGGCTGTGTGGGGCAGAGTGCGGCACCAGCGGGGACCGACTGGGCCTGCGCCGGGCCAAGGACCTGCGTGTTTCCCGGACGGCGGGGGCAGGGCCGCCCCGTGCCCGCGGCCCCGCCCAGGCTTCGCGCTGAGCAGGGTCTCCCCACGGAAGGCGAGAGTCGGGGGACCGAGTGGGAGAGGAGTTGAGACTGACCATTATCTAAACTCAGGTTTGGAAGCCGGAACTTACTGACTTGATTGAATTTCTCTTATCTGTGAAGAGACACTCCCAAGGTGCCACACAATGGGCCCGAACCTTTGGGGAAAGATAAAGGCTTCGGGCCACAGATCTCCGTAAAGCAACTACCCCACCCTCACCTCCGCCCCCCAACGGAGATTATCTTGCCATTTCCCGTCATTGTTGATTGCCAACAGGCAGTGGAAGGAGCTCCCTGACGCCTTGGAGGTCACCAACTAGCGTTATTGTGCTTAACTTTATGAAACCGGCCTTGACCCGGGGTGGCCAGAGCTCCGGCCGAGACGCCCGCGCTGCTCCCGCGCCTGCCCCTCCCTCCGCGCTTCGGGCGGGACTTCGCTCGTGGCCCGTCGGACCAAGGTGTGCGAAGGTGATGGGAAAATTCGTTTCAGAGGGTCCTTAGCGCATTTTTCTGACCTCCTCCTCTTAAAAAAAAAAAAAAAAAATGTATCAGGAGAGAAACTGCTGACTTAACCGGTATTTGCAGAGCAGCCATTGTTGTCATTACTGTTTTTAAAGAAAGGGTGATTTCTGGACCCTGTGTGGGGCATCCGGAAAACTGAAGGCAGTGTGAGAGATTATTCTGGATCTGCTTTACTGTTGCAGGAGAAAAGCTGGGAGCATGAGACCCAGAACCTGGAAAACTATAAAGCAAATTCTCTCTGCCCCAATTTCATTTCTGTGTAAACTACTGTAGGGTGAACATAGGGTGAACATTTTGGGTCCGTACTGGAAAACCTTGTTATCAAGTTTGCCTCTAGTGTTAGGTGTGAACGATTGCATTTTTTTTTTTTTTTTTTTTTTTTTTAGCAGTAAAACAAAAGCAAATTAGGCAAGATGATGTAGGGTTCAAGAGAGCATGCGCAGCTGGGGACAGAAAAAATTAAATAGCCAGGCAACAAAATGGTTGCAACTGCTAACCTTCATTTAAATAGTTAGTCAACTGAGCCATTTAAATTTGGTCAAACTTAAAGAAGCATAAGAAGTTTAAAATGAGATTAAATATTGCTTTGACCTGAGGAGTACCATGATCTTTGGCGCATTTGTCTTTTCTGGTGATTGGCTTACAAAATACAGGTACAACTGAGAAAGGAACCTGTTTTTATTTCCTCACCACTTTCTTAAAAAAAAACTGACCAGAGTGCCTTATGTTCAGCTACTGAAATTATAGGTTTTTAAACTTTTCTGAAACTCTTTTGTTCAGAAATCATTTCTGCCTGACTTGCCTTCCGATTCTGATTACATACCCTCTCATGTTTACCTTGGATGTTTTCTGGAAGTTAAGAAAAAGTCCACTTAATCAAATAAAAGAATAAAAACACAGAATTCTTGTCATTCTCATGTTCTCTGAGGTACTATAGTTCTTACCTTCTTACTTAAAAAATTGATCTATGTTAAAACATACTAATAAAATGCCTAAGAAATCATTAGGTTAGGGTATGTGGCAGGGAGGGAAAAGCAAGGACAAGATCCTAATGAATTTTGGCCTCTCTATATTCAATTTCAGAGCAATCCTGATGAAAGTCACAAAAAGTTTACAGACGCCAAAATTTAAAAATAAAATATGATCGCTGTTCTATGAAAAACATGTTTTAGGAATAAAAGTCTTCTCATTTATAAATAATGGTATAAAATTAAACTGGACCCAATATTGTGCTAGAACCATTTTAATATAATTATACATATCTGCCAAATCCAGGAAGAAAAGGTTTATGCATATATAACTTTTCCAGTTAACATCTGCAAGCATAAACAACAATGATCTCAGTTTATAAATTCATCAGGGTCAGAGCAATTGACCAATGTCTCTTTACCGCTAGGTTTACCAACAGTAAATTACAGATGAATTAGTGTCCTTTCGTTTCTCTTCTCTCACTCTCCTTGTCCAGAGACATTTTGTTGTAAAGTTTCAGTGCCGCTCCCCTCCAGCCAAAGGTAATCTTTTTAGTTAAGGACTCAGTTGCTCTGAATTTTGCCTATAATTATAACCTATTTAATCACAGAAGAACCCCTGCAGAGGTGGAGTTCAAGATTGCATACAATAACAGGAGATCACAGTTTTGAAGTCTAGCACAGATTAAAAACCACAGATGTACCATTTATATAAGACACACACTGATTGTCTCTTAAACTACATATTGACTCCTTATGAACATTATTTTTTAAATAAAGTAGTGCATCTAGGACAATCAGTCACACAATTCACACAGCCCTGAAAAGGTTTTCAGTGCCAACAACAGTTGGTCATGAAACGTGAGTGAGCTTGAGACACTGTCCATTCCTAAGATTCAACCAAGGATTGGCTAAAACGTTGGAAAACCTCACAATTTAGTTTTGTTTCTTTTTGGTGGTGTTTGGTTTCACATGGCTAGAATGCTTTTGATCACTTTGAGAATCAGGAAAACCAATAATCTAAAACTATGACAGGATCTTAAGTAGATTGGTTTGTCCATTTCAGGTTGCTGGTTGGTGGGCCCCTCTAAGGACCTTCATTTTTCCTTCTATCCCTCCTGGAACATTGATCAGAAGATGAGTCTGAGCATCATCCCATCTAACTCTTTTAACCAATGCCTGGCTAAAACTGGAATGTCCAGCCCAGTATATTTAAAAATCACCCACAAAAAGAGGTCTACAGGTCTTCACAAAACCTGGAATTTCCATGAGGATGTCTGATCTTTATAATCCAAGCAGTCAGCATTGAAGTTAAGCTTCCAGGAGGCAGTTTGGTCCTTATAATCCAAGCAATCAGTGGTTGAGTTAAAACCCAAGCTTGAAGCTCCATATCCCTGGGTGGAAAGAGAAGCTGGGGACTGATTGAGATGGCTGGTAACTGCATTGGTACCCATAGGGCTGAGTGTGGCCCCTGGTCCGGGAAGCTGGTGATGCATAGGGGTCAGATAAGATCCGCAGTCCATGCCCCCAAAGTAGGAAGTTGAGCCAGCATATCCTTGACTATAACCTGAAGCCTGAGTATAGGTCATGGGATAGGACCTCTGCATGCAGGAAGAGGAGGTGGACAAGGGGTCTGACAGTGGGGAGATGGAAGCTGGGCTCCAGATAGACACAGGAGCACTGCTGCTGGAAATGGCCGGGACTGAGGTGCTAGAGGGGGGAGTGAATTGGCCACTTGTTCCACTCTCTGAACTCACTTCCCGAGCTGGAGAGGTCTTCTTTTTGGCAGGTCTCACTTTGTTCTGACCTCCATTCTGTTGTTGCTGCTGCTGTTGGCGGCACTTAGCTCTTCGATTCTTAAACCATACCTTGAAAGGGAAAGAAACTTCTTTAACGTGGTTTCAACAACTCCTTAAGAACAAGAGCGGTTCCCAGATTATCATCTGTCCTACATGGGCAGAGGAGCTGAAACCTATTATATAGTACTCTCAATTGTTTCTGCACTTGTAAAAAAAAAAAAGTCGGGGAGGCTCTGTCTAAAAGCATGGGACCCTGCTTTTCTCCTAACCCAGAATAAAACTGAAGATAACTACCCAAGTCATATGGCTAAAAATTCTCCACCTCACTTTTTTATGTTATTTCATCTTGAATACACATAGACCCAACTGTATTTTGGAACACTCTCACCACGGAATAGAATGTATGTCCATCTTTTTGGAGGAAAACACAAAAGAGGGAAGACAATTCTGTTGTTACATGCTGACAAGAACAGTGTAAATTCAGTTTACAGTCCATCTTCTAGGGGGCCATTGCTAATGTGGAGGTTGGTTTCATCACTCTACTTTTTGTCTCTCCTAGAAAGAGTCACTTACAAAAGAAAGCTCCAAGGAGAAGTGATCCTGTTGAGGAAGGAGACTAAAAGCCACTATTGGCCAAAATCTTCTTTATGGTAAGTGGAGTGACTCGTGTGTCCTCTGCTCTGAGCTCAGGGACCACCTTCTCTACTAGTCACAAGTTTGAGACAAGAATCTGTGCCTTCAGGGTTGGTGCCACTCTACTGTGCTCATTGGGTTGCCAACTAACGCCTCTGCCTGCAACTCTGAACATTCTTTTCGCCGGCCCTGTTCATGCTCTGTAATGAAGGAGCTGCGTTTAGTGTGTGAGGGGGCTTATCAGAGGAACTACCAGCATTTTCTGGCCAACAAGTCCTTAGCTCTCCATATGGATGTTCTAACTGTGGTAAAAATGGTGCCACCAAGGCCAAGTGCAGCACCATTAACCATTTAAGTAATTTATTTTCTTTCAGTGAAGACTTTTGTTAAAACTTTGTTAACAAGTGCTAAAACTTCTTCCATCCTATTTTGAAAAAGCCTCTTTCCTGGTTTGCAGTTCACTCTGATGTGTCTTAGCTATAATAGGGGAGTCTCTGATGTACATGTAGTTTAGGTGCTAAACATTCTTCCAGAGAACTCTAAGTGGGGCTTGAGTTCCAAAGAAAGTTAAACTTCACTTTCCCTCTACAGCTTAGGGTAAAGTTAGGGGGCCTAAGGGAAGGTGTGTGTGTGGGGGGGGGGGGTGTTCACCAGGAATATTATGCAGATATTTTATCTGCTAAATGGTTCAGAGCTAGCAAATTCTGTTCAATCCCCCAAAAGTAAAAAAAAACACTCTTGTACAATTTCTTAGGTCAGAGCACCAGCTGATTTCTACAGCCTGGCCCTCCCAACTGACTTGTGACCTTGAGCAAATAATTTACTCTGTTTCTTTATCTGTAAAATATTGGGACATACCAGGACTAAGTTTCTTTCACCCTTAAAAGTGGATGAGAATGGAGGAGGATTATTGGAGAAGGGAAGTATTAAAACATTGTGTGACCATACCTGAAATCTGACAAGGCTGGGCCTCTGTAGGCCAGGTACCCAGGAGTTCTAGGACTGGGCTTTATCACTGCAGCTAAATCACCGGTCTTACTTTGCAACCTGAGCCGGAAGGCCCTTGCTTGTAGAATTGAATGGGGGTGGAGGGACAAAAAGTATCTCCAGGAGAAATCAGGCACTCAAGGAGCCTTAGGAGAGTTTGCTGGCCTCCTATGGAACGTTTAGTTTCAAGCCTTCCTTTGGTCATCTCAAAAACCTGGGACTCTCCTGAGTCAACATATATCGTGATTGGGGGAGGGGTGGCACGGTCAGGAAGAAGGAGTCTGTCTACATCTGCCCTACCTGCACCCTGGACTCAGGCAAGTTGATTTTCAGTGCCACCTCCTCCCGCATGAAGATGTCTGGGTACCGGGTCTTAGCAAACAGCGCTTCCAGCACGTCTAGCTGCGCCCGGGTGAACGTCGTCCTCTCCCGGCGCTGTTTCCGGGGGGTGGCTGCGGGACAAGAAGCCCAGGGCCCTTTAGGGTGGGGGAGCAGTTTCTCAGTCATAGGGGTCTCTGAGGGTGCTCCAACTCCCCCCACCCCACTCCTACCCCCATCCCCACTCCACAGCCCTCCCCTGGTCCTCCCAGCCTTTCAACCCAGGGCCTGGCGAAGTTTTCCCCACCCCCTCCGGAGCCTTGGCACCTCCAGTGCACACTGGAAGTAGGGGAGCCCCCACGCCCCTGACGTCGGAGATCCCTCCAGCCAGAACGTCCCTTCGAAAGCTAACAAAAATAATGAAATAAATGGAAGACAGAAAACCAAAAAGCCTCCAAAATCAACCCCTAAAGCACAACACAAAAACCCATTCTGTGAAGTCAAAGGATTCCCGAGGCCCCGCAGCTCGGAGTGATGGGGCGAATCTCAGTACTGCTGGAGATCCGAGGGCCTTTGTTCCCCCGTCTTTAGAATGGGGGCCTATTTCATACTTCTTCTATGAGGACTTTAAAAGGCATCTGATCGGGAAGGAAAGTACCTGCACCTGCGGTAAATCACACCTGGAGGGAGTAGCCCGTAGGGCCTGGAGGTCAGAGCGGAAGCCCCAGGCATGGCGGAGAGAATTTGTGTGAGAGGCAGAAGGTACTTCCGAGGAATTGGGCTTCGAGATATATGCAGGGGCCTGTCGCCCCAAAATGACAAGGGTAGAAACCTTCCTCGCCCCACACCACTGTATGTCTCCTGTTCGCCCCAAGAATCAGCGATGTAATTTCGTGCAAGGGTTGTAGATCCACCTACTCGCTTCCCCCCAGCCCCGGTCCTCTCCACCAGCAAAGGTCCGGTGGTTCTGACCTGCTCTCGGAAGGAAAACCCAGTGGGGACTTCTCCTGGAGCTGGGGCAGGGAGCAGCATAACCGCCAGCCCAGGGCTCCCGGGGTTAAGGGTGTCGTCCCCGTGGGCCGGGCGTGGGGAAGGGCGGGCAGGAGTGCCGCGGGGCTCACTTACCCGGGTAGCCCACCGAGGGGTGCAGCAAGTCCATGCCCGAAGTGGTCAGACTCAGCCCATTGACTGCGTAAGGCGGTTGCTTAAGATAAGACATCATGCTAAGGTTGTTAGGAGGCGCAAAGTCAGCCCAAATCGAGGGGACCCAGCCGGAAGGTCTTGCTTCGACGGGAGTGGACAGATTCAGGGTCCTTGGTGGGTGGGTTTGGAGCGGTGGAACTAAGGGCAAAGCAAACAAACAAACAGAGGTGCTGGTTTACTGCTTCGGAGGCAGCAGCTCTTCCACGTTCCACCACTAACTTAAAAAGAGCCCGGGCTACTCAAGGCAGAGGCTTTTAAAGGGCTTGCAGACCCTCCTCCCCACATCCCCACCTCCCCAAACCCCCAGCTGCTCAAAAACTGGAAGGGATGGAGACCAGATAAACCTGTCTTCCCCACCCCCACCCTTAACTTAAAAAAAAAAAAAAAGTACCCGAAGAAAGCAATTACAATCTGCCTTCTCCGAAGAACAAAACCCCACGCCTTCAAATGCACACATTGCATTCCTATCCCTACATTTGCATAGGACTCATTGGCTGGCACTAGCTAATTGTCTCAAACAAAACTTGATTGGGGCCATTTGCAGAGACAAAGAACTCTTTGGCTAAATAAATAATGCTGATAACAAAGCCCATTGGTGAGAAACAAAGAAACAATTCAAGAAATCTACCTCTTCAGACTGTTGCCTTTCCAAGGCAGATTTTAATTATCTTAGCTTTTTTAGCACTCACAACAGCTTCTAACCTAAAATGTCAGTGCATTTAACATCTAAAATGCCAATTTGCTAATCGACAAACTAGAGAAAACTGCTCAACCACTATTATTCCACACTTAAAGTCATTTCCAGTCATCATTTTCACCTAATTAGTGTTCTGAGTAATTAGATTTTGAGGTAAGTAACAGATTTATTAGGGTTCTGGAGAACCTTGATTATATATGTATAAAGAACTTTACATTTTAATCGACACCCATCACATATTTAAACATAGTGCAAAAACAGCCAACAAACTTCAAGATTGGCACAGGGTTTGCTAGAAATTCTGAAGTTAGAATCCCACCAATCACAAAATGAGAGGCCCCCACATCTGCAAGTAGAAAGGGTGCACATTTGTAGCGCGCAAGCCGCTTCCATGTTGAGTTTGATGTGTGGAGGCTGCAGGTTCTGCGGGAGGCAAATTTTCGGACATTTGGGTCCTCAGCACCTCCAGCAGTTTCCTGTTAACTCTAGTTGCCTTTGGCACATTTTAGTTTTGAAGAAAGTAGATACACAAACACCCAGAGTTGTGAAACTAGTATAATTTCTCCCTACCTTTCAAGTTTCTTACAATCCTACAAGAAAAAGAGCTGGGGGGGGGGGGGGGAGAAAAAGAAGTTATTTACTTTCTTCAGCTGAATTTCCTTCACTCCCCCCAACACAAGGGATCCCAAATAGATGTTAATATAGCCTGGCAGTTGGCAAGTCTGGCTTTTATTTTCCTAATAGATGGCACTTATCCTGCAAGGATCTCTACTTTGCAACTATGACACTCTGAGAATTTGCTTCAAAATGGCGGATACAAGATTAGGAGAAGTTCCTACTTTTACAAAGGTCCTACTGAATTCTAAAGATTCTGGGTTTTTATATTTACATTGCTTAAAAGATAAAGACACAAAGTTCCACAAGTGGAACTAGTTTACTGCAACTTCTTCCTAATTTATCCTTTTTCTCTTTTAGTTTTTACTTCTCCCTGATTTAAATTTATAGCACAAAAATTATGCTTTCTACCCTCAGATCTAATTTAATATAATTTTATAAATGCCCTTCTTGGAGAAGTTTGTATTATCTTATCAGTAATACTAATTTAGTTGCTCCTACAACAAAGACTTGATGTTTTCTTGTCTCTTTTCTTTTCAAGACAGTTATTTGGAGGCTGTGGAAACCATATTGCTTTAAAATACAGTCATTTGTTTGTTTAAATAGCCTCTAAGGTGGACTTCTTTTTTTGTTTAATACAATTTCAATATATTGGAAAGTTCTGAACTATAGAAAAAACTAAAGTCCTATCGGATGCGCACATGATAAATATGGAAGTGATGTTCTTACATGCAGAGCTCTCGCCCAATTAGAAATGCCTGACACATCAGACATTAAAGTAGCACATTTCAGTATTAAAAACAGTAACAGACAGAAAGCACCGGGACAGCGATCGTTCTTGGCGCTCCTTTGCCGTTATCATCGCAAACTGGCTAAAATTCTCGGATAGACTGCTTTCGCTTTTTTTACTAGCTTCATCTTTAAAAGAAAATACTCCAAAAACAAAACGATGAGGAACTCTCAACAGACAACCTAGGTATCCACTCCAAAGACGAGAGGCCATTAGCCCTTCCACCTAACTTCCAAAGCCCTGCAAGGACTCCTTTCTCCATTCCTCTCTAAGCAGAGCCTAGAAGGGAAAACAGAAATACCTTTTAAAGAATATAACCCCCAAAATGACTGCTCAGGAGGTGGCCACTGGAGAACTCCTACCTAGAAGAACGGAAGGCGGACGCGCGGCGAGTCCCCGCAGCCGGCGCGCGCACCTCCGGGCGCCAGTGACTCGTCCGGAGTCCCTGCCAGGCCGCCAGCCCCTCAGCCCGGCAGCCTCGCAGCCCGAGGTCCGGCTGCACTGCCCGCCTCGGCCCGCGCCGCCTTATATCTAACGGTCAATCCGTGCAATCTGTCGCCCCCCGCCGCCCCCACCGCCTTGTGTTGTTGTTGTTGTTTTTTCGTTCCCTTCCAAGGAGCCTATCTACCAGTTGCTGTGTCCTCGCTCAATAATAATTACCTCGTCCGAGAATTAATTATAATAAATGTTTTCTTGATAAACTAACGAGATAATCCGAGGGGCACACGTCCCTTAATTACAGGCCGCCGTGCTCAGCTCTGCTTCTCGCCCGGGCTGATTAATTTTCTGCATGATGGAAAGGAAACAAAACCACGCGGATTGGCGACTGGCCTGCGGCTGGGAAGACAACGCAGAGGAAGAGAGAAAGAGAAAGATGTGTGGGCACCGCGGAAAGCAGCCGGCGCGGCCTCTCTCCGGCGAACTCGAGTGAAAGTTTCTGGCCTCAGGGAATCAGACAGCGCTGCCACCCGCAAGGGAGGGAGGAAGGACGTGTCAGAAGGGTTGGCCTTGACTATTAATTATGGCGAGGAGAAAGCCGGGTGCTAGCTCGAAAGGAGAGGTCTGGGTGTCTACTTCGTTTGAGGGGAGGAGTTTCCTCGCCAACTCCTCTCTGGTGCTAAGACTTTGGTGACGGAGAGCGTTCGGAGGTGCGCAGGAGAAACCCTCAGCCTGCAGTTCTAGGACGAGGGCGGACTGTCAGAGGGCGACTTCTCGTCTCCTCCCCAAGTAATCCACCACTCCAGGCCTTCTGTCTCCCTCGCCCCTCTGTAAAGGAGAAAAGCAGGCCAATCCAGTGGAGTTCTGATGGGGGACTAGGGTTTCAAAAATCTGTCCTGAAATTGGACCATGATTTCAAGAATCACTTGAACGCATCTACACGAAGAATTCTTCGGAGTTTGCCGTGCGAAGAGGCCGGGTGACGGCTGAGACTTTCGGATGGTTCTCCCAGGGCAGACCGCGAGCGGAGGCCGGGCCTCAGCGCGCCCCTCCAGCCCCGCCCGGGCCCACGACACCCCATTGTCGCCCAGCCCGGGAGGGGAGCGCTGGAGCACCCAAGCCAGACCCGCTCCTGCCCCAGTCCGCGAACAGCCAAGGGGCCACCTTCCCACGGAAGGATCCTTGTCCCGGCTCCCGCCGCGGCCTGGGGCGGAGCAGGGGCCACTCACTGCCACTTTTGTCCGCCCCAGGTGCGCGCGGAGGGCTGAACCATCCCCGGCAAAGTCACGCTGTAAAACGACTTTTACGTTCGCTCGGCCAGGTGACCCGGTGGGACGACGACAACCACAGGCGGGAGGGGAGGAGGTTGCACTCCCAGGCTTCCCACCTCCCCCGCTGTAGTCGGGGGTGGGGGATGTAAAAAAAAAAAAAAAAGTGTGGGGGTGGGGTGACCTGGAAGCCTTTGGAAGAGGCCGAAATCGGAGAGTGAAACTTGGTGAGCTGGTCCTGGCTGGGGGAGAGGGGACCGACCTGACATGCCGGCGCTCCCGACTCCTCGGTTACCCGCTCGGCTCTTCTCTCACGTTAGGGACAGGAAGGGAGGGCCCGCGCGGCAACCACTCGCGACCCAGCCGGGCTTTGGGCGCGCCTGCCCTGGGAGGTGCCTGTATTATTACTATTGTTGTTGTTATTATCCATCTCTCTAGCTATATATGCATCTTTTTGTCTCGGGCTCTGAAAACGTCCTTCGGACCAATCCAAATGACCCAACGACAGCTGAGGGCCAAGACGCAAAGATTGCAGGGAGAAGCCCAGAATGGGTGTTGACAGAAAACAAAATCACAAACAAAACCCCTCCAAAACACCCCATGTTAGACTCACAGGGTCGCCACGACGTTTTGCGGAAGCGGCGCTCCCTCCCTTCCTCCCGCTCCTGCCCTCATCGCCGGGCCATAAATTGTCTCAATGATCGTTATTACATCTCAACATTTATAAGGGAAAAAAGCATCAGCCTTTAGAAGAAACCCACGTTCACAGAGGTGCATCGGTCGGTCTATTGGAGATACTTGGGTGGTAGTAGACAGAGGGACATATGAATATAGACAGACAGACTACACAGACCGACACTTACCTTACAGCCGCATGGGAGGTTAGAAAAAAAAATCAAATTATCCTTCAAAATCCCAAATAGCCAGGTAGCCTAAAAGAAATCAAGAGTATTGAGTTATAAACCTTGCCGTCTTCACCCTTCCATAAAAGTCAAACACAACGAAAAAAAAATTAAGAACAGAAAATGAGGAAAGTAGCTTGAGTTCGAAATGCGCGTGGGCCCCTCCACGATACATACAAAGTAGACGGGATGAGGGCTGCTCTAGCGATTTTTATTTTTAATAACAGTGGAAGCTGACTTGGAGCTGAGGTCGGTTCTGCTCTCAAGGAGATTTGCTGAGAAAGCGCCTCTCTGGCAACTTTTTTGACGCAAACTCTCCAACCAATGGCAGGGAGAGAATGATTGACACATCTAAGCCAGAGGGAAAATAATAAAAACACACAACAGGGGGAGGAAAACAGGCTGCTGCTGCACGGGGGGACGAGCAGGCAACAAATCCAGGCCTCCGACATTACCAGAATGTTCTTGAAAGACACTAGGCTCGCTTAAAATATACATTATGGGTCGAAGCTTGTGAACTAACTGTATAATTAAAATGATGCACAGAGAGGCCTCTCCTTACCTTCTTCTCCTCTTCCTGCCCCCCCCCACTTTGTTTTGTTTTTGTTTTAGGGAAGGGGGGAAAGGAAACCAATACAATGTAAGATGGGAAGATAAAAATATTTAAGGCGGGCGAAGAGTGAGGGTGGGGCTAACTGGGTATCGAATTCTGCGCTCGTAATGTGTGTGGATCAGATGCACAAAGCAAGTCAGAATGAAGCTTAAAAACGCGACCGTGCCCTCTCAAACACGGTCAGACCAGGCCGAGGGTACCACGAAGGGTAAAGGAAGAGGGCCCGGGAGTGAGGCATAGACATGCAGGCAAGAGACAGATAGTCAAGTCCAAGAACAAACTATTTTCAAAAACTCGGTGTCTCTTTCCCTGGTTATGCCCTTACAAACATCCCCCGGTCCCCAGAGCGAGAGGCCCGGGCTCCCGGTATCATCGCAGCGTTTTTAGTTTTAGGAAAACCAAGGCAGGTTGCAAAGAACAAGAACTCCAAATCTAACCCCAGGGCCGGTTTGGGGAGACAAAGGGAGCCAGGTCAGGACCCGGGGGTGTGAGAGTGGGGTTGGCAGAACACCGGGGGAGGGAGGCCCGTTGCCAGAATGAGAGTTTCTGTGTTAGAACAAACGCCACCCAAAGCCTGCGGCGGTGGGGCCTGGAGCTAACCCAGCCCGCGTGGCCCGAGGCGGGGGCCGAGAGCGGGAGATTGGAGAGTGTCGGCACCAGGGTTTCCGATCCGGGGAAAGCGAACCCTAGCCCAACCTTTCTTCCTGGCACAGAGAGCGGGACTCTGCAGCCTTCAAACATGTATGAGTCCCTAGAAAAGCAGAAACGGATTGGGCAGAGTTGGGGGGGTGGGCCCAAGTGGACCGCCAGAGGCTGTGTGAATGGCGGCGGGCGAGGGGGGGTAGCAGAAGACAGTCTTCCCTCACAACTCTCATTGCTGGAAAAGAAAAATAAAACCTCTTCCTAAACACCCTACCCCCCTCCAACCACCATCACCACGGCAAGAGGGCCCAAAGAAACAGCTCGTTGCCTTTAATTTGGGGACCTATGTTAATGAAGTTGGTAATTAATTCGTCGCTTTGTTGTCGGTTCTTGTGCTCTATGTGTAATCAAATGTGGCCGTCCTTGGGATTTACAGCAATTAACGAATTACGGGAGTGCGCACGAGGTGGCAAGCGCTCGGCAGCCGGGCTGGGCTCTGGCTTCGGCTTGGCCTGGGGATGGGCACTCGGCGGCCGCGGCAGCCTCGCAGGTGTCTCTAGAGCTTTGGGCCTCGGCGTCCCCACGAGCCCCGAAGCGGCCCGGGATCTGCCCAGCTCCTCCGGGGCCCTACGCAACCGCTCCAGTCCGACGAGACCCGTTGCCTGTCGCGTTCCCAGGAATCTCGACTTTCTGGGGGCCCAGGCTTGGGGGGGGAGGGTGAGTACAGACCTCCTTTTTATCTCACCCCGCCCCCACTGTACTGAAACACCTGGGGACTGCCCCCTGAGGCCTTAATTGGGGGGGGGGGCAAATGCCGTAGGTGGTCTGGCCCACCCGGCGCTCGTTTGGGAGCGCTTGGCCAGAGTCCCCAGGCTTTCTGGGAAGGAAAGGTAAATCTCCCCTGACCCCCTGAGCCAGAGCCTCTTTCCAACCCCGAGAAAAACAGTGTTTCCCCTAGTTTGATCACAAAGGTGTTTAAAGCATCAAAGAACGAAAAAAGAAAAATGGACGTTGATGGTCTGGCGGAAGGGAAGGGCCGGAGGAGGCCTTGGGGACAGTGGGGGCGGGGAGGGGTGGAGAAATATCAGAACACGCGCTTGTGATCTCCACAAAGTGAAAATTTTTAGACTGGGAGATCTATCTGCTCTGGGGTCCAGTGTCGTGGGAAACCCCTCAACCCCTTATGTAGAGGTTTTCGATGTCTTCTTAGATGGCAGGAGCAGCTGAATCTTCCTGAAAATCCCCAGGTTCAGTTGAACCCGCAGATTTTGGCGCCGTGGGGCGTGGGAGGGCTTTTTCCTTTGCAGCGGCCGGGAGCAGATTGCTCCCGTTTCTCCTATGCCCTCTAGTCTAATAACTTAGCAGAAATGCGGGGCCAATAAACCACGAGTTGGAAATGGACAGTGTTAAATAAACAAGGGTCTCTTTAAAATTCTCATCCACTTCAGATGTCTAAAGTAAGATTGTGATGATTTTGTCACGGTTTGGTAAATTTACCCCTTTAAGAGGCTTTCATAAATCCCAGAACACACCTTCAGCCAGATTTGAATATAGATTTAGGTTTTAAAACCCAGAAGCTGGAAATACCGCTTTATCAAAGAGAATTTCCCTTTAATTTAGCAATGTGCTGAAGCTCTTAAAAGATTGGATCTGAGAGACAGAGGCAGAGGAAAAAGAGAACTAGAGAAAGAGAAAGGCAGATAGAGAGAGAGAGAGAGAGAGAGAGAGAGAGAGAGAGAGGAAAAAAAGACTTTCTTTTTCTTTCTAGAGGAATTCTGCCCAGACTCTGCAGCAGTTGGTAGCAAGCAAGCTTTCTCCTGGGTGTCTCCTGGAAAAGTTGCAAAATTGCTCTTCACCTGTAAGAACATGCTCTTTATCTTCCAGTCTCTTCTTGTCAATTTGGAACTTGCAGCTGGCTCAGGTACAGTCCCCACAAACCTTACTCTAGGTCACGACAAAAGCCACTGGCTTTGGGGGGAGGGAGGGGTCTGGGCTGTTGTCCTGAAAACCTTAGACGCTTGATGGGAGAAAAAGGCTCTTTGGATGAAAAGTCTAACTCTTGATTTTCAGTAAGTCCTTGAACTTCCAATATACTTACTATGTAGTCATTATATTTTCTCTGTTTATGTTGAACTTTTTTTTTCATGTATCCTGTGTCTTTAAATGTTTTTCCCTGTGAAGCTGACTTATGGTAGCTTGCTTGTGTTTTTAAATAATTTTTATTAACAAGTGGATGGTTTTTTAACTGCGAGTACAATTAATTATCTTGCTATGAATATGAGATATAAGTATTCTGAAGCTAAATTAAGGAAACCAATACACAGAGAATCTAATTATTTGTCAGAGTCTGCATGCTGTTTCCAAAATAGGGCTGATATTCATATTTTGAAATCTAGATTCCCGTCTAGTGCTTGCTGGGCTTACTTTCTCTACCCTGCATGCCAGGCCAATTTAAA